TAGAAAATAATTCGAGTTTAATGTCACCACAAGGTATATATAGGTTGTAATAATGTTTAACTTTGACATTTTCTTTTTGAATTTAGCATCACCGTAAGGATTATATAATATAAATCCAAATTAAATTTACGTTGTGTCTAGCGCAACGGTACCGTTGCTCTTTAAGTCACGGTAGTAAAGTTTGATTGGTTTATTTTAAGTCATGGCTGCGAATATGATTGGTTGATTTTGAAAAATTTATTTGTACATAAAAAAATAAAGCTTCTTGAACCAGTAGTGTGTTTAGCATTGTGGTAACTGATTTATTATCATCTCGCGGTGATCCGGGATCAAATCCTTCGTTTAGTGAAATGTTTTTATATGTTTTTTAACTATTTTTTTTTATTAAAAGTTACATTGGTTTTTATTATTTACAAACATCGACTGATATATAGGGATAGGCGCAGTGAGTGTACATACTTCAATTAAGGGGTTTTGGTTTGGGCATGCATTATTTAAAAAAAGAAAAAAAAAATCAACCAATCAGAAATCACTACCGTGACTTTAAGAAAAAAATTAAAGCGATGGTACCGTTGCGCGAGCAACAGCGTTAAATTTAACATAGAGAATTTTTTTTTCATATAGTGTCTCCATAAGGAATATATGATATAAATAGTAATGAAGTTTAACATAAAAATACAATTAGAGTTTAATGTCACCACAAGGTATATATAGTATAATTTGTAATAATGTTTAACATAGAGATTTTATTTTAGTGTTTAGTGTCACCATTAGGAATATATAATATAAATAGTTATAAAAATTAACATATAAATACAATTAGATTTTAATGTCACCACAAGGTATATAATATAAGTAATACAATTTAACACAAAGATGATATATTTAAAGGAGTATATATCTTATAAATTGTAATGAAATTTAACAGAGATTTAATCACAGAGTTTAATTTTGCAATATATATAGGTACTGGCAGTAATCGTGTGCGCACCTTTACACCTGTGCAAATTGTTTTGCACTTGAAATGTAAACTGACTGAAAATATTTTATTTTTTTGTTTTTTTATATATTTTGTCTTTTAACTTTTTATAGGATTTGGTGTATTTGCTAATTCAAATTTTGATAAAGGATGTTTTTTGCTTGGGTACAGAGGTAGGATTTATTAATAATTAAATTTCGTGCTGTCCGATTTGTCTTGCGTGCACGATTTAAAATGGCATGTGGGTGAGTGCAAAAACGCTTGCTAAATTAAAAAGGAAAATATGAAATTTTTTAATATGATACGTTTTCCGATTTATGTTGAGTAAAATAATTTATTATTTTCTAATCGATTAAAACCATATTTATAAGAAATTTTTATTTAATTTGCCTTATTTTGTGTTATATTATTCAAATAAAAATTTAAAAGTTTAATTTACTACGTGCTTGCCTTGTAAGCAATAGATTCTGAGTTTGACTACCACCACATCCCACAGTGCTCAACATATTTTCTATGCTCAGCAGATTATTCATCAAGTTTTTTTTCGTAGTAACAGTTAAGAGCAGTAATAGGAATCTTATAAAATAAGTATTTTTTTCGACTGAATTTTGGGAGCTATATTATTAGATCGATGCTATTGACCAGCTGTTATTTTGAGCGCTCAAATAGTGATATGGTTTTTTTATTTACTTTTTTTTTTTTAATAATTTTGTCTTATTTCTTATGTCTGCACTATGGAAAATCTAAATAAGAAAAGCAAGCTTTTAATAATTTTATTTTTATAAATATTTTATATTTATTCTTAATTATATTTATCAATTTATAAGTTGAAATGTTTTTATCACTAATAATATACTAGTATTTTTTTAATATATAAAATTGTCCATTATCTAATTTTTAAAGAGAGATTATTTCTGAAAGAGAAGCAGCCACCAGACTTAAAACTTATGAAAAAAATGAAATTGGGTGTTTTATATATCATGGAATTAAAGATGTGTATGGTAAATCTGTATGGTATGTATGTAAACTGAAATTCTACATTTTATGTCTTTTTTTTATTTGAGACATTTTAGCCTGGTGAAATTTGAAACTATTACCTAGTGAATATTTAAAACTATTTAGTTGTAATGTTTTAAAATAAGGTTTTTTTTTATGGAATCCACTTGAAATCCGTTACAAAAATAATCAATTGACACTTGAAATAATCGAATCAACATCGAATCCACTGTAAAAATAATGAAATGACAAAAGTATAAAAAATAATATAGTTGCCTTATTTTTGTTAACTATTTCTTTCAGTATCGATGCTACTAACCAGGTGGACTCGCTTGGAAAAATGGTGAATGACTCACTAATAAATTTTGCTAACTCAATAATGAAGAGAATTGTTATTTCAAGTTGTGTCCATCTCTGCCTGTTTGCTTTAAAGTCTATTGATATAGGGACAGAAATTAGGTTCACTTTCGTTACTTTCACTTTTAGATAATGCTAATGTAAAAAAAAGTTCTAGCTTTTTGAAATTAAACTCTTTATATAAAGTATTTTCCGTAAAAGTCAAATTTATAATTTTTCACAGGTATGATTATGGTGATCATGATGAATTGATGCATTGGAGAAAGCAGGTAAATATTTTTATTTAGTCAATGTTGTCATTTAAAATTCATTAAAAATATTCTATGAATTTTTTTTTTTTAATATTTTAAAAAGGTTTTTCTTTTACTTCATTTACCTAAGTTTTCAATTTTCTTTTTCTTAATTCAAATTATGTGTGTGACGGTCATTTGTTACAACTTAACAATCTAATCGTTCAATTAGGCTAATTTTTTTAAACTTTATATATTTACGTTTTAGTACATTTTTTCATTAATTTCTTATAGTAATTTTTATCAGTTTAGATATTTAGTATTTGTTATATTAATTTTGCAGATGATTGTTTTTATGTAGAAATCATCGTGGCATCCTTATACTCTAGCTCAACTAACACAAGAAAATAATAAAATTTTGGAAGTTTCTAAATTTAATGAAAGTTTACCCCATTCAACTCCAAAAGTTGGTTTAGAAGTTTTATCTTTGTTAAAAAATTTTAAGAATTTGTATTTTTAATATTAATTTTGCATATTGTTTGTTTTCATGTAGAAGTCATCATGTAATCCTTATACTCAACCAACATCAAAAAATGAGGAAATGTTTAGAGTTTCTAAATTTAATAAAAGTTTAAACTCCTCAACGCCAAAGGTTGATTTTGAAGTTTCATCTTCTTCAAAATGTTTAGCAGATATAGTAGATTTAGATTTTTATGATTCAGATTCCAGTATAGAATATCTACCGTCATCACTCAATATTTTGCTAGCTAATGCAACTCAAGAAAAAGATAATTTCAACCATAAAAGTGATTTAGAAACAGAAATTTTGCCGTCTGTGCCTAATTGCAGTAGGTATAAAACCCATGCACCAATTGATAGTTTCAGTACAACATTGGATGACTCTTCGGTTGTTGAAACTAATGGTGATGATTCCTCAGAAGAATCAGTTGAATTCAATAATAATGATTCTTTAACAGAAAGAGGTTTTTTAAATAAAAATATAAAAACAATTTGTTTTTAAAAGACTTTAAAAAAATAAGAAAGATTCTTTAATAGAAATGAAATTTAAAAATGAATTCTTAGAGAAAAAGTATAAAAAACCTTCTCGGCCTTGCATGTTTTGCCAAAAGACACAGACAAGATTGAAGCGACATATTCTTAAAAAACACAAAAATGAACCTTTAAGTAATACCAATTTTATCTATGAATAAAAAAGAGCAAGATAGAGAACTAGATGTTTTGCGAAAGAAAGGGATTAGAAATTATAAGTCCGTTATTTTAAAAACAGAAAATAATGAGTTTATGAGAGAGCGTCGTAATTTCAATTGTACGCAAGATATGCCAGTTATGTGCTCTGAATGTAAAGGGTTCTTTTCAAAAAAATTTAAAGCTAGACATCAACTAAATTGTCCAGCATCCAATATAAATGTTACGATGCCTATTGTTTCTTTAACATCCATAATTAAAGTTGATGAATATCCTGATGATTTTAAAGAACTTTTAAATACTTTGATACTCGATGAAGTTGGAGATAAAACAGATGAAATTATTTTAATGGTTGGATTAAGGTCATTTGACTCACTTAAAAAAAATATATATAAATTCGTAGAAGGTCGTAGAACTGTACGTGCACGAATGCGTTTGTTAGCTCGCATATATCTATTGTTTAAGTTGTACTACAAGCAACAAACAAGTGTTAAACTGGTTTTAGAAATGAATAATGCAGCTGATATGTTCCGCAGGGAAACCATGGATATCTTGAGCAAATCAATAAATAAACTTTGTGAAAACCCTGATACAGAGCTAAAAGAATTCTCTATTTCTGGCCAGAAAAGTGGACTCAAAATAAGTATATTAAATATCATTAAACTGTCTGGTAAAATAATTATAGGTCATTTTTTAGTTCAAAATGAAGATGAAAGATCTAATAGAGTAGTGGATTTTCTAAAGGTATTTAAGTTATTTGAAAACCAAATATTTGGAGATGCATATTATGATCTGAACTACAGGAAAAATAAAAGTTTGCGGAAACCAATAAACTTGCTAAACGATGCAGATGTGATCTTATTATTTGAGGAGTGCAAAGCTATTATGTTGTCAATAGATTTGTATGAGCACCCATTAAGTAATTATGTTAAAATTAGATCTGCGACTGCTACTTATCTAATAATCTTTAATGCTCGCCGAGGTGGAGAACCTGTAAGACTTCAAATATACCAGTGGGCTGAAGCTGTTAACGGAGAGTGGGTTATCAAAGGTGACCTTCCAAAAGACTTTGACCATAGTACTAAGCTTATAACATACCAAACAGGCAAAGGGGGCGATCATTTAGTACCCTTAATTTTTCCATTAGAAACCATAAAAGCGATGGAGTCTTTGACAAATAAAAAAATGCGATTAGAAGGTGATATTCACAAAGAAAACGAATATATTTCTGCTAGCACTCAAAACAGTCTAGGTCATGCTAGTGGTTGGCACTGCATTAATGATATCTTAAAACGACTAAATCTTAAAGGAGCAATTAATGCAACAAAAAAACAGGCACAGAGTTGCTTCATTACTTGCTAAATTGCATCTTTCAAAAAAAGAACAAGAACTAATATTTCAACATTTTGGTCATTCTGAACGAATGAACAAAGATGTATATCAAGCTCCTCCTGGATCTATGCAATTACAGACAACTGGTCAATTTTTGTTGCAAATTAATTCAAGTAGCAATAATACTTCAGAACAAACTATTTCAAATACTGATGATCTTTCGTGTGTAGCAAGTGTTTCAACTCCCAAGTTGTATGAAGTCAATATGGAAGGAAATGGTAATCATGATTAATAAGTTTAAGACTATGAGTTGATACTTTAATGTATGTGTCAGCTTATCATGAGTTTATCATGTAAGATTATTATGGCAGTTATTGTTTAGGAATTTTTTTAAATGATTATTAATTATTATTTCTAACAAATTGGTTCCATTTTTATATTTTTATGTGGAAATGATTATCACCTTTAGATAAAATTAAAAATGTGAAATGTTATCCTAAACGAGTAAGACCAAAAGGTTGGTTTAATATTTATTCAATACTCTGGTTTTGTTAATATTATATTTTAAATATTGTGATTCAAATTTACACAAATTTTGTTTAGCCAATAGCGTTATCAAAAATTCAGGTTATGGCTGCAAAGAGACACACCGTAGGTTTATAATCGTTTTTATTTATAATTGTTTTTTTATTCATCACGCATAAAAAAATATTAAAATAATTGTAATAAATACTAATATGAAGCATGTTAAATTGAATAATAAAAATAATTGTGATAATAATAAGAATACAATAGGGACAGTCATTAGGACAACAATCAGACAAATTGGAATTAAGTAATTTATTTACAACTTTTTAAATTTCATAAACATTTTTTTAAAACAAGAAAAATCGTTTTAATTTCAATGTTTTGAAATATTCATTATAAGTTCATATATCATAGAATTCTTCCTATAGAAAGTTTAATTAATTCAATAAGTATAGGAATTCAATTAATATAGAAATGTAATACACATTGAAATTTGTTTATATTTGCAACTGCCTTTTAAAAACTCTAACCGTTCTTGTGGAGGTAAATCAAAGAAACTATTGTTTCTACATTTTTATGTATTATATATATTTATTTCTATATAAATAGTTGTTTCTAGATGAAAATATAGATGAAAACTTAGACGAATGCCATGCCCCTGCTTACAATGATTCTCTTTGTAGTACATCTGAAATAAATAAAAAAGGTTAGCAATAAAAAGTTTTTTTAATTTATGTACAAAGGTAATTGTTGATATCATTATTTATAGGTGGTGACAATGGAGTTAACAGTTTAATTTCCAAAAAATAACAAGAAAATGTTTATATCTTAAATTAAAATTTGTTCTTTTTTTCTCATTATAATTTATACAGAGGGGTCGCACAAAAAAACATTTACTAGCTAGAGACTAAATGTACATTAATATTAATTGGATATGATCTTTATAACCATGAAATGTTCTTACTAAAGAGTAATAAGTAATATGCTTTTGTGATGTTTTCATATATTTATTTTAGTATTTAAACAAGGTGGCCACAGCTCCTCTAAAATCCTCATTAGTCCTTTTTTTTAAAAAAAACCTCTATAATCCTCTATTATCTAAAAAATTGAAAATATGATCAAATCTCCTCTTTATCTCCTCTTTTTATTTTTTTTATTTCTTGATGGTAGTATAATTTTGTTATTTGAAAATGTATTTTGTTATTTGAAAATGGATATTTTAAATACCCATTATATGGCAGTATAATGGTTATTTAAGATACCCATTCCCGGTCAGCAAAACTGGTTAACACCTTGCTTCAGATTGTAAAAAATCTGAAGCACTTTTTAACCAGCAAAACTGGTTAAAAAGTGCTTCAGATTGTAAAAAGTTGCTTTAGTTAATCCATGGCATTTAACATAAAAAATCACATTATTGACCCTTGTCCAAACCCCATAAATGTAGAAACATGGATATTAAACTTATAGTTATAAAAAAAATCCCATATTTTTTTGAAATTTTGCGAAAAAAAATCCTCTAAATCCGATGCAAAATCTCCTCTAAAATCCTCTAATGTCCTCTTTTATGAAAATTTTATGTGGCCACCCTGTTACATATTTTCAGATATTTTCATGGGCTAAAATATCACTTATTACTCTCGAGAGTAACTTATTACTTTGAAAATGAGACTAATGACTAAAAATATCACTTATTACACATAAAAATATCACTTATTACTCTCGAGAGTATGTGAGAGAATAAAGCTTAGTAAGCAAGAAAATAATGCCTGGGAATAAACGTGTAGGTAGGAATTTTAGTCCAGATCTAATAAACAGGGAGGAGGAATTTAAAAAAAAAATTCTATTTATATTTAAATTAAAAAGTCTTTTAGTTTAAATATAAATTCAATTTATATTTATATTAAAAGTTTTATATTTAAATTAAAAAGTAATTTGATTAATTGAGTTATATTCAAATTAAAAAGTACGAAACGCGATTAAAACTATTTAATTCTAGCGTGGCTTGGGGCAGTTTCTAACAGCATAATTTCAAAAGATTTTTTATAATAATTTTAATATAGTTTAATATGCTTATACTTTGGTGAGAAATAAACCAAGTTCGTTTTCGGCAAATCGAAAATCAAATAACGACGATTTTTAAAGCCTCTTTACACAACGTTTTCGCTTTTATCGATTTTGAAAAAGCCTGGTTTCTATCAACAATTTAATGCAAAACTGTTAAAAAATGCTTAACGCATCATTTTCTGATTTATCTCTTGCCCAAACCCAAACCCTGTCCAAAATCATGTACGTTTAATCGCGCCAATCCCTATTTGTCAGTCGATGTATGTGCATTTAGTTGTGCCAATCCCTATTTGTCAGTCGATATACGTACGTTCAATTGCCCAATCCCTATTTTTCAGTCGATGAGTGTACATTTAATTGCGCAATCCCTATTTTTCAGTTGATTTATATACATTTAAAAAGCAATATTTGAATTTATTTAAAAAAAAAATAATTAAAGTTATATAAAATACATTCATTAAAACATTTAATTCAGTTATAAATTAACTTAGATGACAATAAAAACCGGGTCGCCAAATAAAAAAAAGATTTTCTTAACGATCGATTTCAAAATGTAAACTTTGATGTAAAACGTATTTAAAAAATGGCGAATATTAGCGTTTTTTAGTGTAATTTTTTAAACTTCAACATCAAATAAGAGCACTTTCTGTTAATTTTCAGACCTATAGTTTTATACGATTCTTAATCAGCATAAATTTCTCTATCAAAATCAACAATAAAAAATAGGGAGTGGGGGGGGGGGGGGGAAAACTGCAGTAGCGCCATATATACATATATATATATATATATATATATATATATATATATATATATATATATATATATATATATATATATATATATATATATATATATATATATAAATACAGGGCCGGCGCGAGTACATGCCAAGTGAGGAGGGGGGGGTGTCATAGGGATAATTGCCGACTTAAAAAAAAGTCATTGATTTGCCGACAAATAATTTTATTTGATTGCTAAAAAATGTTTCATAAAATAATTCTTCTTTCTTTTAAAATTGACCATTTATCAGTTAGTAATTTTAGATCATTCTAATCTAAAATATCTTTGTATAATAATAATTCAATTGTATAATTATAATTCAACAGCATTAAATTTTGTAAGCGGCTGGAAGACGATGTTGACATCAAATAATTCTTTACTATTTTTAATTTACTAAATGCTCGTTCGTTAGATGCAGTACTAACAGGAGCTGTATACACCAACCGAAGCATCATTTAACATTCGGTAAGTGATGTTTCACAGATTCTGATGTTTTTAATATTTCTTTCAAATTTGAAATACCCGAGCAATGATGAACTAATATTAAAAATTCCGAAAAGACTCCGTCATAGTAAGTCAACTTTGAAGCAGAACGTCCTGGGAGAAATAGTGCGATTACTTTTTTTAGATATTCTGAATGGAAATTTGATTTTAATGGCGTTTCAAATAGATTGAAAATAGGCTCTATGGTTGACTTACATTTTGTTAAATGTTCCATAGACAATGTTATTAATGTATCTAAAACCTTTTTAAATTCTGCTCTATAAAAGGTTTTCATGTCAACAGTTGCTTGTGAATTAGAATTAGAATCTAATTTTTTAGGTAAAAATCTTCTCCTATGAGCTTGATTAAACTCATAAGTAGGATCAATGTCTAGTTTACAAGCAAATTGTATTGAACTTTCTACAAGATTATTCATACTTATATCGTCACTACTCGTTTCTTTTAAAATGCTAACTGTACTGTTTAATAATAATAATGCATCAATTACATTAAGTTCTATTGATTCAAGTTTTTGCATTAAAATTTTCATCTTGTACATAATGTTCTTCATAAAGTACAAAGCTAAAATAAAATCAAATGACAATTTTTTTTTTTAAAGTCCGAATGCTTGAGTTCTTGTCTTTTTATCAAAATTTAAACTTAAAGACATTTCATGAAGTGCTTCTAATATTGCCTTATAAGATACCCATACTGCTTTTATAGATTCTGCTCGAGCAGTCCATCTAGTTTTTGAAAGGTTTCTTATTTGAAGCGAGTTTTCTATCTCAGATAATTTACATTTTAAATGAGCGTACCTTTTTGAGCTAGATGAAAAGAAAACATATAAATGTTTAAGAATCGAAAATAAATCCGCAATTAATACACTTGCATCACAGCTGTGTTCCAAAAAAGTAATAACTCGGTGTGCATGACAGGGAATAAAACAAATTACATGACCAACAAGATCAGAAAATTTTTGCTGCGTGCCGTTGATCTTTCCAGACATACTGCTTGCAAAGTCGCACGACTGAAAAGCAATATTTTCGCAGGACAGACTATTTTTTTCTATTACTTCTTTAATCTTTTTAGCAATTCCAAGTCCAGTTTTATCCAAAGCTTCACATACTGCTATTAGTCTTTCAGAGACTTCGCCTGAAGAGTCTACGTACCGTAAGCAAACTGACAATTAATCTTGATGCGAAACATCGGACGTTGTATCCGCCAACACAGAAAAAAATTCAGATTTTTTTACTTGCTCTATAATTGTTCTCTTGGTTTCATCTGCTAATAAGTCAATGAATTCATTTTGAGAATCATGGGAAAGATAAGTAACTTTATTTTTTCTAAACTTTTTATCATTAATCCAGGTTTTCAGGGTTGGATTATGTCGAGATATAAGTAAAACTATTTGATTAAAGTTACTATTTTCTTCATCAGCATCACCGCGCAATGCAAGACCTTGACGTGCTAGAGTACGAGTAATATCTAATAATATAGCAATCGCTTCTTTATGAAACAGTTTTTTATGTTCTATTTCAATTGCTTCTTCTCAGTTTACCTTGTTAAGAATACAGTCAATATGGTTGGATGAAGTCAAAAAAATTCGAAAATCAATAAGTGCTGAGTTATGTGATTTTGAAGAATAATTTTGTTTAAGTTTACCTTGTTTTTTTTTACCTCTACTTTTCATTTGATGCCAACTTCGAACACCATCTTGAACCCATGCCATATCGGAAAAAACTCTATCTGGTCCAATGGGAAATAGAGAACAAATAAAACAAAATGCTGCGTCTTTTTGAATGCTGTATTCTAAATGTGGAAATTCATTGAACCATAGTGAAGTAAACTGACATTGTTTGTCAGATGAAATATCAACGTTTTTTGGATATTTAGCCAATTTAGGTTGGTAAGGTCCAAGGCTTAAAAGATACTTTCTTTGAGCTAAGGATTTTACAACTTCCCTCTTTCCAGGATCATGTTCAGGTGTACTATTGGAAATATTTCCAGATTCAATTGCATCATTAGCTATTAAGTTATTCAAAACTTCTTCTGTTGTCAACAAATATTGTGTAGATTCATTTTTAATCAAATTTATAATATGCGAAGTTTCTACTAAAAATGATATTGGGTTTGGTTCAGAATCTGTTTTAAGTTTTGTTAAAAGTTGAATACATTCCTTAAAGCTAGAAACTAGTTTTTCAATCATGCCAGCACAAACCATCCAATCAAAAACATCAGTTTTATCAACACATTCACTATCCGCTAAAACAAAAGATAATCATTAAAAAAATAAACAATCCTGATTTAATAAATCAGCAAAAAGATTAAACTTTGTCGTAATTTATAAAAAAATTAAATCCGTTTTATTTCTATAGGTGAGAAAA